TGATGGAACTGATGACTGCATCTTCAGATGAGCTGCTTCAAATATTTCTCTAAGAAGAGAAAGACACCTGATGGAGATGACACTAGCCAGGTATCGTTAGCCGTTTACTGACTCATCAATGATGGTGGTCAGGTAAAAAAAAATTGTGTAATAGTATATCATCAGACACAAACTAGAAACAATTTTAAATGATAGGGGTTTAGGAAAATGAGAAAAAACAATCTCATTATTGTTTCTATTTGTAGTTGAAGACTGACTAAAGAAACAGGCTTCAGGGGATCAGCTTGCATCATGTGTGCTGCTGAGCTTCAGCGGCCACCTCTTGGAGAATTTCTCTACAACAGAGCCTTAGAGCTCTGTTATTAAAAACAACTTACATTTATTATTTTTAATTTTTACATTCAGCCTTTAAAAAGCCATTTTAAGTGGCCATTCAATAAATAGGTTGTAAAAGTAAAATCTGCAGTCAAATGTCATTTCTTTACGCTGCCACAGCTCCCAGAGAGCCTGACCCCCTGCTGAACAAACTCCTAGAGAACACTGTCCCCTGAACACCAGTGGGCTGACGGGTTTGCTTCACAGTGACATGCTGGCTGCAGCTACTTATTAAAATCCCAAACCAACTTACGCTTATATCCATTTTTTTACTTTATAAAGAGCATCACAGCCTCATGGAGTGAAATTCTACGTGTAGCATGTATTTTTTTCTTACATTTGTGCGTGTTAAAGCTTCCTGTCTCGTGTCTATGTTCTATTTTTTCCCTGTCGTGTCCTCTTTTTGGTGCCCCAGTGACATAATTTCCCAAAAGCATCATAATTTTTCTTGCAATGTAATCAAAACAAAGATTCATCAGGAAGATAAACAGTGAGACGTTTGTGTGCAGGGTCAGTGGAAGCAGCTGAGGATTTGTGTGTGTTTGACCACTGTGTGCTTCAATACTTCATCAGATGGCCTGCAGGAGTGTTACACACACACACACACACACACACACACACACACACAGACAGGGTTAGCAAGCTTCCAAATAGCCCGGAGTTTAGTTCATCAAGTGGCAGCGTACAAAGCTGTAATCAGATAGATGAGAGTTGACAAGGTCAGACAGTTGTTTTTTTTTAGAATTACACGCAGAGTAAATCAGGAAAATATAAAGTCACTATTGCTGGTTGTACTCCAGTGTGTTGCAGTAGTGTTACTGAAAAGAGATTATTAAATGAAATAATATTTCATGTTCTTTTTTTCCAGAGAGAGGTTTTGTTGGAGGATAGTTCTTATCATGATTGAATTCTGCAGCTGTTTTCTAGTGACAGGGAGGTACAGTACACTCAGTTCTACCAGCCTGTTCCTGAGCATCTCAAACCCCAAATTTCACCGTGACATTCACTCCACCATTTGCATCAGAAAAATACTCCTAATGTGTGAGTGTAATAGATAAAAGTAGCAACTGTCTTGGAGATACACAAGCGTCCCTTTTCTTCATGAAGTTTCAATCAGTCAGGCTGTCAAGTTAACAGTTAACATGTGAAATATACATACACACATACCTACACATAAGTTGTGCTTCTTTAAAAACAGCACACCAATATTTTTTTCAAAATTGAAATATTTCTTGAAAAAGCTGCTCAGTGTTGTTTTTGTCAAATGTTACCTAAACAGGGGGAAATAATGCTCAATGATGTTTTTGCGATAGTGAAGAAATATCAGGCATGCTAGGAGATATGTTCATTGTTGGTTTTGACGTTTAATGGGAGTTGATGACAATCAGAACAATACAAAACAGTCAGCTATTGCCAGCTTTTTAAGAAGTCCAAACTGAAGCTGAAGTACACACAACAGGCTGAGAGCATGTGGTTATACCAGAAAACCTACGGTCGTTCTCCTCTTATTCTCTATATGCATTTTTTATTTACGTTTGAAAGCAAAAAGCAAAAGCTGTTATGAAGTATACGGTGACATTTGTGCAGGGGCACTGCATGTCAGCGTACTGTCAGCTTTTATCAGCCACAGTGACAAGGAGACAACAGGATGTAAATATCACTGTGTAGACGCTACTTGCTATTACATTTAATATTTGATGGCATGCAGTAAAAGACAACATGAATCAACTGTAGAAGCACATGTTTGTTGTATGCTGGTCCCTGCTGAACAAGATCTTACGTTCAGTGTACGCTCTGACAACACCACTCACTGGAGCCAGTAAGTGGTGTTGCTTCACAAGTGTTAAAATGTACGGTGGCCAGGAGTGCGTTAGTTCAGTGATCCATGAGGTAAATATACTGCTGAGGAATAACACGATGTCCCTGTTGAAACCGTCAGCGTTATCATCTGCCCCCCACCCACATGTGACATCAGACTTTTTTGTTTTTCTGTGCTCTGAAGTGGCTGCAAAAATGTATGTAACAGACTTTTGTTCACCACTTAGGATTCAGCAATAGCCAACTCAGACCGCTGGTAGGTTGTAAACATGTGTCATTATAGAGAAATACCAGAAGTTGGTTGACATGTGTGACTTGGTCATATTGCCCTAATGTGGGGGCCTCGCTCTTAAACGGTAAACTATCTGCACTTTTAATCTTAGCTGGGTTCTATAAAGTGTTTTACAATATGTGTCTCATCACCCAACATCTTGGGGTTAATGTCCTGGCAGAGGACACTGTGGAACATGGAGGAGCCAGGGAACACACTGTCTGTCATAACTGTAACATGTTCTGAGCAGTTGGTCACCCAGTGTTAGTTACCCAAGGCACAGTATGCACTCATGCACTTGCTACCCATTATGAGTGGTGTAGTGGCCAGCTGGAGAACCAGGACTGTTCCGGTTGGACCACATCTTTAGAGAGAGACAAAGAAGGAGAGACACAGTGAGACATCCTCCTCCTCCAGCAGCTGCAGCCCACTGTGCTGCTGTGGGGAGTCACATCCCTCTCGTTTGTCTCCCTCCCAGATAGCTATGCTGTGTTTGGTCCCACGGCTCCGCCCACCCACTTCCTGTTTATGTGTTGGTATCCCTGATAGAGATGCATCAGAGTTTAAACATCAGAGTATTTGCATGAAGATGTAAATTGCATAACAAAATTATTATTTCTTGAAATTATTATTGGTAGTTGTAGTGTTAGTAGTAATATTAATAATGATTATTTATTGTAGTTGCTGCCTTGCTCATAATATATATATATATATATATCATTACAGTTAATTTAACCTCTTTAAGAGTGACATAGGCCATATGTGATGGTGTGTTTCCAGATGGGTTTTGGCAAGCCAGTCCCAGTTGAAAGTTCCAGGGCGATTTATATTCCCAGTTTACTGCTCACCACAACAGCCACATCTAACAAGGCTTAAGAAATTGATGAGAGTATGAGTGAAAACAGATCAGCAGTGTTGTCTGTGTATGTGTGTTTGTGTGCGTGTGTGTTCAAGGAGGATGTGTTTGTGACATAGTAAAACATATTTCTACATATAAATAGTAATGATACTTTCTCTCTCTCTGTCTTGCTTCTAGCCATTGAAAAACCTCTATGCGGATGACGGCTCGCCTCTGTATCCTCACTTAGGCCCGTACTTCTCTGATGGGCGGCGGCGTGTGGACTATGTGCTGGCATACCAAATCCAAAAACCCAACAGCATCCGGCGGCAATCGTCCAGATTTGGCGACACCAACTTCATACGACGGCTTCGACGAAGCCTGAGCATGAGAAGCAGCCGAGCTCCGCTGCAGCCAAAGGAAGACCCAGAGATTGCTGCCCAGGAGCAGCGGACCGACTACCATGAGGATGACAAGCGCTTCAGGCGGGAGGAGTTTGAGGAAAACCTCCTGGAGACGGGGTTAGAGCTGGAAAAGGATGAAGGGGTGAGAAGGGGGGAAGGGTTTACAGTCGGTTAACTGTAGGCCTGAATGTGATGGGGTACTTTGACAACTGACCTTTTGATGAGGTCAAATTGTTTCCTTCTAACATAAACCTTTCTTGCTGCTTGCCTTATATACATTTGTATTTTCTCAAAGGACATTTTCATTTTAATGATAGAACTTTTAGAAGATGACTAACCCTTGTGTTTGGGAAATGTTAAACTGTCTCAGCGAACAAGTGCAGCATGGGTTGCTTTTGTGTAAACTTCCCATATTGAATTAATGGCAGTTCTGAATCCCTGACATTACTCTTAACTTGAATAGCATTAAGACTGGCTTCACACAATACAAAAACACAGTGCATGTACATGTGCAGTTGAGTCCTGAGCTCCATCTCAGTGGTTGGGACAGTTTTATTTTTTTCCTCTAAGTGTTTTATCGTTGACATTTGTTTAGTTTTATACCCTCACAGCAGGCTGTTGTTCAGGAAATAATGAAATGCAGATATCTTGTTTATAGGCGAACCTTTTCCCTTCATATTCTCCACACTGTCTCTTCCCCTGGGCTGTTTTGAACCGTTGGTCACCCACAGTACCAGAACTTTAACTGTACCTGTGTCATTCTATCCACTGCAAAGAATTAGCAACATTAACAGTAAAAGAAGAAACCAAAGTATGCCATTTCTTAATTCTAACGTTGACAATGTTTAAAAATTAGTTCATATTCCACAGCAGCATGATAGAATTGCTGAAATTCAGTTATGGGTTTTGGTTTTGGTTTGCCACCACAAGATTTTCAGTGGTCCCATCTGGTCCCTCCATGAAAAGTTTCTGTGGGAACCACTAGATCAAAGTCAGACAAGAGTGTCAACCATTGACCAAGGACTGAATTTATTACTGTGTTGTTCTTTATTGAGACCTGCAGAGTCTTAACCAACGCTTGCCTTAACGGATGAAGGTGAAACACTGTGAATGGAGGAGAGAATAGTTCATGAAGTTGTACATATGGGCACAGCTTGAAGACAGGCGTGGTTCTGTGCAAAGCCAGTAGCAGGAGGGTGTCTGTGGGTCGGATGAGCTATAAGAAACCAGAAGCACTAACTTTATTACTAAAGTGGATTACAGGTTGGTGTAATCGAGTTTAATTCTAGTGTCAGCATCCTAACATGCATACAGATATGTAGCACACGTAACGTTTACGATAACTTGAGATCTGCTGCTAGCATCGCTAAAAACAACAGGAGGAACCAGTGAGCGGCCCAAACCAAACCATTTAGTTTGTGTGTTCAGTAAGCTCTTGAGTGGATGTCATGTTTACATAGTAATAACATCAAAGATGTTTTGCTTTTTTTAATAAAAAGAAGTGACTAAGATCTAAGTTAGCTTCTGTTGCTCTGAGTAAGTCAGTCGGTTATTTAATCCTCATCTTTGAACTGACTCCAGAATATTACTTTGAAATTACTGTGTTTATTTTTCTATCTTATCTCGTCCAAATATGGATGTTTGCTAGACTATATTCCTGGTAACTCTTGTGTAACTGCACTGTATGAGCTACGTGAGTGGAGCCATGGACACAAAGAGATTTGTTTTCATTATTGGAGAACTGGAATGAGTTTTTGTCATTTGTCTGTGGAAAAGACAAATGGACACAAAGTGACACTTTACACAGTGAATCATCCATTAAAAAGTGTATGAACAAACCTTTGACATAAGCAGCTTTAATCTTAATATGTTCCAGAAAAGGCTTTTAGCAACTCAGTGTAAAATTCAGCCTGTCATCAGAGGTTATTGTAAATGGTCTGAAAATGTATGGGCAGAATTTAGAAACAGTATCCTTATGCAAGGCTCTATGGAGGCTTGAGTTCAGATGATACATGATGTGGCAGCCTGATACACAGAAATAATGGATGTAACTCAGTTTCCTTTTCTAATTCTATTATTTCCTTATACTTGTACCGTTTAGGATGTTTCATCACACAACATACAATGAGCACCTGCCAAAAGAAAGTAGCAAGATGTGTTTTTCTGCTGCACTTTCACCACTGAGAATGGGAATGACTTATATAAAGAGCTGCTGTCATGGTCACAGTGTTGGACTTTTTGTTTGTGTAGACTTAACCATCTACCATCACAAAGCCTAGTTTATTTTAACCAGGACTATGGGGGTAGTCAATAAAATTTATGGTTTGGTATGTACCTCAGCTTTGGAGACATGGCTCATATATAATATATATATATATATATATATATATATATAATCCATACATTATCTATACACTGCTTAATCCTCACTAGGGTCGCGGGGGGGCTGGAGCCCATCCCAGCTGACATAGGGCGAAGGCAGGGGACACCCTGGACAGGTCGCCAGTCCTATATATATATATTCAAAATTAAAATATTTAGAAATGCCTGATTTACCATAATACTCAGTCTGACAGTTTAGACACTCAAGTGTTAAGTTAATTGAATAAGTACATTTAATGAAATGTTATATGACAGTCGGTCAACACAGCAATGTAATGGCATTAACACGACAATGGTGCTTTGCAGAGATAATCTTGTCCAGTCAAAGCAGTGGATTCCCAGGAGAATGTGTGAGATTTCACCTGGGATTTGAATCCCAGCTTCAGGAGTAAAAGTCCTAAGCCTGATTGTTTGAGCCACCACATCCTGCTCTGACCACAGACTTTGTTGCTATTTATGTAGTCATATCAGATCAGTGGAAAGCCCTGAGACCAGCTAAAGTTTCCTCTCAGACCACTTAGATTACAATACGCTGAAAGGTTTGTATGAGATATTTGCCCAGTGATGGCAAAAAACAAACATATACAGTGTATGACAGCTTTAGTCCAACATGAATCCATACATAAATACTTGTGTTTGAAAGAACAGCGTTGTGTTGAAGTCTTACTCTGACCCAGTCGTCAAGACGTCACAATTTGTCCCTTGTCAAAGTCACTTCGATTCTTACATTTGCTTCTAATACAACAACTTCAAGAAGTTACTGTTTCCTTGCTGCCTAATATATCCTACCCACCGATAAGTGCCACTGTAGCACGTTAATCAGTGATACTCATTTCATCTATCAGCGATTTTAATGTTGTGGTTGATATATATGATAATTTAGAGTGTACTGTGAGCCAGATTCTGTCAATTTGTTCTGATGTATTTCTGTATCCAGACAGGCCAGATGCAGAGGTGAAAGGTGTGAAACAAGTCTGACAATGTATGAGTGGTTTTACATAACATTAGAGGCTGCAGAGACAATCTCATATCCAGGTATAAAGGTTTCTGCTGAAGTGGACGCAGAGGATTTTCCTGTCAGTTAGGAGAGCTTTCAATGTAACAGAAAAACTGCATACTGCTGCGCTCTGCCAGTCAGCTCTCATAAACATGTGCTGATTTTAAGAGTGGTTAATATATTTTGCTACGTCATGAATTGTTCCTGTAGTGGGTTCAAAGAGAATACTATTTAATTATCCAAACCTTGATTGTTTTTCAGTGCAAGATCCCTGGAATTGGATTTTTGAAGATTCATGCTCCTTGGAACGTTTTGTGTCGGGAGGCTGAGTTCATGAAGCTCAAGATGCCAACAAAGAAGGTACTCCAGCCAGCCATCAGTAAACTCTCCATTTGTCTATTCCATCCAATGCATATTTAGTGTAGCTTTTTCTCTCTCAGGCTCGGTGAATTATCTCTAAGAGTCGCTGTAGTGCTGAGTGGTCAAAGTGTGAAGATGAATGTTTCCTGGAGTGCTGTCCTTTCCATACATGTAGTGTTAGGCCACCTCAATGGGTTTTTTTTGTGGTGACAGCACTTACAAGCCTTGTAATGAAAATCCGATAATGCAAAAAGCAAAGTACATAAAAGCCATCAGTCATTTGTCATGTACCACAATGCACAGTGCCTCCTTTATTAGGGTCCGAGGACCCCTACTTGTTCTTTATTCTTCTTTAACTACAAACCTCAGCATCTCATCTATTTTTAAATTAATTGCCAGAGTCAGAGGTATCTGATATTGGTGTAAAATACACAAGATTTGCTGACTAAGGCCAAAAATACCAGCTACATTGTTTAGAGCCCTCATCTCGTAATTCTACAGAGAAATAATGTACCCAAGACGGCACAGTGAGGATTTAGATCATGTTATCCTACACGATCTCCTGAAAACGATCCTGAGCTCAGTGAAACCACCTGTTTAAAGTAGTTCTTTTATCTTCTCTGCAGGTTTATGATGTGAAACAAGGAAGCAATGTGGTGGAGAAGATCCGATTGTTCATTCACAAAGTTACAGCTCCTCTTCACCCAAAAGTAGATGCCAACCGACCAGACAGCGTCAAGTCCCTCTCTCATCCGTTCTCCAGAGAGAAGCAGCATCTGTAAGTCACATCTACTACACCTTCTACTCTCAGTGGAAAACTGATCAGACTGACTGTAATATTTCTTACATATAGCTTTGTACACCTTGTTTATCTGTGTGTTGCTTCGACTGATAAACTGACTCAGTTCAGAAACTCATTTTACTGAAGTTACCACGTGGATACTTATCTGCATTACACTACATCATAGTAGACATAGCCTCACTGTGTAGTCATCAGTCACAAAGTTATTTATTAAAAACAAATATGTAGTCCAATAAATTGTTACCTAATGTTATTTCAGATATTTTAATCATAGATGTTATTGAAAAACTAGTGTAGATAAATTAAATTCCTTTTGTGAAGCTATGCAAGTGCAAATTCTGTGATAACTGTTTTATTAAACCTCTGAGCCTGAAGCATTTTTCCCTACAGTGTAATGTCCTGCACATCCATGCACACAGCACAACCATGGCTATAAGTAGAGAGAACTTTGAGCTGTCTTTTGTCCAGTGTAACTAAGTTATAATGTCATATTTTCCAAATTGTTTTGTTTCTGCTCTGTGTAGCCTTCAGTGTAGACAAAAAGGATTGTTGGTCATAGGTGAGTCAGTCATGGCTTCACAGTTTCACAGAGGAGCACAGATTTCTTTTCTTCACACTATCTGGAACAGATGGACTTTTGAAAAGAGATTAGAATAAAGAGATTTTGATGAAATGTCACAATTTTAAGCTTTGGTTTGCATGTATGGCATGTCAGACATGAGTTAAGAACCGTCAGAAAGTTGAAAATCCCTCAGTTCTTTCTGGCTCTGATAAATGGTGCAATTTTTCTGAGGGTTAATGTATGTTGTAGCATGTATCCAGTAAAAATGCTGCACAGCCACATTTGCAACATTCTTGAGTTGCATTCAATAATATGGATCCATGTGGGCTGACATACTGAAAAATGTACCATTGCATCTGCAGTGCATGTCCAAGTAATAGCTGTTACTATTTATGATGTTAATAATTGGTGTATGTGTAATATAAAAGGTGTTACTCACAGGAATGAACCTACAGAGAAATATTACTCACTCCGCCGCTACCTTCAGCTCTATAGGGATTTTGTAGCTCTCTGAACTCACTGTTTTGTTTTTTTGTGCCTGCACCCTGCTCTCATCATCTGCAGCAGTCAGCAGATCTGCTCTAGAAACCCGTTGTACACAAGCTGCTCAGCAGCAAATTGCAGACAGACGCAGTTATCAAGCAGGGACAACCACAGAGGTGTAAATTGGAGAAATTCCCCAACAAGCCAATGAAGGCTCACTGGACTACGGCAGGGAAGATAAAGCATGACACTGTCTGCTGCCTGCTGCTGAAGCCCCCATCCCTCAGCTTTCTCTCCCTCCAGGAAACAAACACAGCTAGTCTGAATCACAGAAGACGTTTACATTTTGTCAACACTGGGATGGGGATATTGAAAGTGCATTGAATAGCAGAATAAAGGACTCAGAATAACAAATAATAGGATTAACTGCTGGCAGAAGTCATGACTTCACAGATGCTTTCTTTTAGTCCCAACAAGTGAAACAGCTTTCAAAGTCAGCGATCAGAGAAGAAGAATGTCTTACCGTCGGCCTGCTGGGATGTATGGAGGAGCGAGTGGGCAGTGAGCAGCTATATTTACAGCTCTGACTAAGAGCTAGCAGGAGATCTCCCTCCACATCTTCTCCATCACTTAATCTTCATGATTCTGAAAAAAGCTCCAGGCCATTTTCCTAAGATTAGGCCTCATTATAGATTACAGTATAATGTGGCATTCAAAGCGCATTAACACAGTCTATCCTAATCAGACATGATGTTTCATTCTTTTACATTTGGACTAGTCTGGCGTTAAATTCAGTTATGTAATTTTCTGGGAGAAGTTTCAGTTGTTCTGGCGCTGAATAAAAGATTAAAGTAACCCACCAAAATTGCAGGTTTAACTAAAGCTGGCTGTCAGCGGAGGCACAAGGTCTGTTTGGACTGTCTCGATGAAGACCGACAAGCACCACCAAAAACACAAGTGCTGACTGAGTGACAGGAGCTGCCCACACAGTCACTGTGATGAAAGGCTCTCAGTGCTGAAACGCTCACTTGAAAAGGTTTTTCTTCTAGGAATGATGTTCATATGTGTGGAGTCTGACAGTTAACATCTGGATAAAAAAAACCTTGCAAATCTGTGTCAATAACAGCTTTGTTTTGTGCATACGAGAATTCATTCCATCATTTCAATAATTATCCACACATCTAATATAAACACAATCGTTGTTTAATATCATCTTCTATTAGTTCATACAGACAAATATTTTCCTCCCCCTGTGACCTTGACTGACTTTGCAATCACAAAACATACAAGGTTCACATCTTTACATGTTTACTTGTTGGATGCAACCTGTCAAGGCAAAACAGTGTAAATTCCAAACTGTAAATTTGGTTTGAACCTGTCTGCTGAGAGCTCATAACAGCGATTGCTAAGCTGTTCTAACTAAAGGCCTTTGGGCAGATCCCAGTTTCGAGGCTGGCATGTTGTTCAGCAAACAAAAACCAGAGGGCAAGCAAAGCCCCAGTCCAACTAACAGGGAAGAGGTAAAACAACCGAAAAACAGACAGGAGAGAAAAAGGCTGGAATGCTGAGTGGACTGCTCAAGGACAATCCTCCACGTATCATACAACGGACCAGCAGCAGATATGCTGAGGGGCTAATGAGCAGAGTGGAATCAGTGATGCAGCAGGTGGGAGGGACTGCTCTGTGAAGACATGAGTAATAAGCAAAACGCTCAAACCAGAGCAGAATAAATGAATGAAAAAACCAAACGGAGAGAGAAAAACAGTAAATTAATACAAGCACGAAGATTAAAACAACAGAGTAGTGAGAGTGTAGACGGAGGACAGTAGTGCCAATAGAAAGGTTCAGCAGTGCTCCGTTGGCTGAGACTGGTGGAGTGACAGTCATGAGACAGAATGTGAGCTGGTGTCTCTGTGCTTTAATCAGCACCATGTTGGGACATTGTAGCATAAAGACACTGTACTTGACAGTAAAAACGTGGCCTCCTATTTGTGCATGAACAGGTGACTGTATTTGGCCTATTTGTGCAGGTCATTTTGAAAAGATAAAAAGTTCGTGTTATCTCATTGAAACATCTGATGTGGGTTTTAAGGCAACATGTGGTCTTTTAAGTATAATTTTACATAAACTCTTGTGTGGTGTAGCTTTAGTTTTAGTTTATTGTGTGCAAGATGGACAGCCAATACCTATAACAATATAGTCTGCAACTCTGCAAAGCTGAATGTCAAGCCTTTCCCCTCTTACTCCCCTTATCTTTCCAATATCTATGGACTATGTAGTAAAGTAAAGCCTGTTTTACCAGCATGCTCCTATCAGCCTGCACTTTTTCTCTGCATCTGTACCTTACACTGGGCGTGTTGTGTTTTTTTGTTGCCAGATTCGATCTGTCTGACAGGGACAAATTCTTTGACAGCAAGACCAGGAGCTCGATAGTAAGTATGTGCTTTAGTAGATGGATGGGTGGAAGGTGGATCCCGTATGAGATGTCCAGGCTAAAGAGCAGTGTTTAATTTTCACAGTGACAGTGTGTGCACAGTTCGTATTCGTGGTTGTAAAGTCCGCTTCTTTCTTATAGACATATGTGTTTTCAACATGCTGTGCTCAACAACCACTTTTCTCCAGAAAGAATCCTTGTTTTGCTGTAAAGGAGGGAGTAGCTGCCATAACAAAAGACATACATTTTGTGATTCTGCACCATGTGATGCTGCAGTGCCATCCACTCAGTACAGACACACCTACACAGTACTTTGCAGTACTTGACAGAAGACTAGATAATGTGATTGACTTCTCATTATTATTGGAAGAAGCTTCTCAATCTCAGCAGTTGTTGGCTTCTCGCTGCGCTTCAGCTCTCACCAGTTAAACTAAATGAAGCTCTGGGTTTCACACTGAGTCTCTGAGGACAGACATATAAAACTCAGCAGGTCGCCTACTTCATTTTGCCCTCAGTTTCAATTACACCTGTTCAGCTCCTCCTCCTCATCTATATCTGCATGATTTGAAGACTGACATTTTTTTAGTTGTTAATGTTTTTTGTTGTGCCACCAGGTCTATGAGGTACTGAAGAGGACAAGATGCACCAAAGCCAAATACTCCATGGGTAAGAGACATCTTTAATACAAGGAATAAATCAATATGCAATTAATCTGGGTGCCTCTTTCATTAGAGTCTAGTGTAATTACTACCACAGAAGAGTGTAGGCTGTGGAATTGTCTCTCTGTAAAAAATGGACTGAATCTCCTGTGACCGATCCTCTGCAGTCTTGACTTAACGGCAAATAAAATTGTGGATTCATGACTGTGACCTGTCAAGCGCATCATGTCACTTAATAAACGGCATATTGTAAAAGCCAATAGAGTCCAGGAAATCCAGTGAAATCAAGTCAACTTATATTTGGTTTCGACAAGTTAGTATGCTGCCCGCAGAGAAATGGTATATAACATGAATACATAAAATAAATAATGCATACGAAGACTTTAGGGACTGACTTACTCTATTACATAATACATGGTAGAAAAAAGAGATCTTACAGGGTGAGAAATATAATCATGCAGATTTTACGTATTACCTTGTTTATTAGGTTGAGAAAAAAATAAATCTGAAAGTTATTTTGCAAATGTGTGGCAATGACATTTTCCAGACTGACTTCATGGTTCCCCTGGGCACCGACCTGCTGTGCTAGTGGCAGTGTACTGAGAGGTATTATTTTATCTGAAAACCTGGCGAAACTGTGAACTTGTTTACAAGCTGTCTTGTTCCACCAATAGGACTGATGGCCAGAGTAAACCAGAATTATATGTTAAGGCATAGTTCTTGCGTCCCTCTAAACCTTTAAAAAAATTAAATCTCCATGATGGAGTTTTATGTTTTCAAACATCATCTTTTTACCTGTATTTCAGCATAAAGCCATTTCTGGGTTTAGCTTGGAGTTTATTTTACTGAGTGTTACGCAACTCTGTGTGTGTGTATGTGTGTGTGTGTGTGTGTGCTCCATGATGATAATCCAGTTCAATATGCATTCTTACAGGCATCACCAGTCTGCTAGCCAACGGTGTCTACACGTCTGCCTATCCGCTGCATGATGTGAGTATCACCATCACTGCTCCTCTGCTGGCCTGATCCAATGATTTCTGTATACTTTGATAATAATAATGTGTGTGTGTGTGTGTGTGTGTGTGTGCGTGCGTGCGTGCGTGTGTTACAGGGAGACATCGAGGGGGTGAACGCAGAACCTAATGACAGGAAGGTAAGTAAAGCAAAGCTGTCCGTTTACAGAAACCCATTCATTAGTAAGTCCAAAGAAAGCTCTGGTAAAAGTGGAACTGCTGTGCCTTTATTTTTAACAAACCTGCTCAAGTTCACCTCCAGTGCAGTATGCACACATGGCAACACAGGCTAGAAACCATAGCAGATATGAGCTGTCAACAGAATAGAATTAAAGTCCACTTTGTAAATTCATTTTCAGGTACATTTTGGAGTGTAGTGAAAATGTGTCATTTTTGTGAAAATTGTCAGCAACAAACTTGAAACATAATGTAATTTCTAAAGCCTTGATACTTCCTTACAAATATGCGCATGGACAGCTGCACGTAGTTGTTACTAATATAGTATGATAAATGCTGGAGTTGTGTACTGAGGGGTGAATTGATTTAATGCATTAGATTCAAACCACCATGAAAGCACATAATGAAAACGCATAATTTAGTTGCATGAACCAACCCGAAGCGTTCTCCTTCGCTGGCTCACAAACAGCCTATCAGACCTTTATAAAAGACTAATAATGGTTAAATTCAAATTTAGGCATTGTACCTACGTATTCAGCGTGGCACATTGCTGCCCTTGTAGCGTAGTCACAAATGTTGGGCTGCACACAGGCATACATGTAGGTTTTCACAAGGACTATCACAGACTTTGGAAGATGACAAAATGTACAGAATCATGTGGACCCCCATGTCGTCACTGACATAAAGGTATAACACTGGTCTAAAAGTATTGATCATAATCACAACTAAATGACAGAGTCTTTGTTGTGTCTTACCCATATTGCTATCATGCTGAAATAGGAAAGCAGCGTTCTATTTATTATTGTTAAATAATAAAAATTAAATCATGTAATTATGTCATTATACATAACATTAAATGCAGTAGACAAGTGACATTTAACAGTCGCCCCATACAGTAATGTAACACAACACTGTCGCGAAATCTGATGTCTCCAGCTCTGCTCGGACAAAGGGAAGTAACATGACACTAGTGGTTTTTGGTTTGACAGTGTTACTCGATGCTTACTAATATAATTAGCAAACAAAAACTGCCAAAAAAACAAGACCTGTGGGTGTTGCTGGATTAATGAAAGACATAAAATCAAAAGAGGGCTGGTCGGGAACCAACTTGCTAAGTAGACTACAAATGGAAACAGCTAAACCTACTCAAACTGAACACATAGCAGCCGCACCCCTGCTCATAGTGCACCTGACAGGAAGACTCCTGACTAAAGGCGGGTGTGGTGGGAAAGCTGGCAGTAGTGGGTGCTTCATTACACGAATCAACAAAGCTCCGAGCCACAAGTATCTGCATACAAGTGGCTGCCGAACACACAGACAATGAGAAACCAGCAGCTGGCAAATACACACCAACACAAGGCAGCCAGCGAGTGCTAAATACATAGACTACAAGACAACAATACAAAGACAATGAGCAGCACAGAGGCAACCCGCTCACTATAAATCACAGCTACCAAGACTGACAGATTGGGTGCACTTTTAAACCCGGTGCAGAGCTCGACTGGGATGTAGTACTGGGCAGCGGACCTGTCAGTCACAGGGTTCTGCGGGAAGAGGGATGAGGACTGCAGCTCCAGGCCAATCAGCTCAGATGACTGTCAGGATGAGGAATAAGCTCCTGATCACGAGGGTTAACCACAAGGAAGGAAAGCTTAAGGCCATTAATGACTGCAACACATCATTTCTCCCCAGACGTGACAAAAAAATCTTATATTTGGAAAATAAAATCAGCTGGCGTGACTGGGTTTTTTAAATCAAAATGCAACACAATGGTATAAAATCTTTAAGTGACTTTAAGTAACATGCTATTCAGTTATTTGTACCATATTACCATACAAAGCTGGACAGACTACCTCACTATCGTGCTAATGTTTGAGATTTTTTTAAGCATTTGCCTCCTACTGCATAAAAATAAAATAACTACACAATTGGAAAGAAGAGCTCACGAGTCTGAAGTCACCTCCTCCCCTGCTAATACTCTCCATAATTATACTGGAGGCTGTGTCACTAAGGCAACAGCCTAATAATTCCCCTTCTCTTCTTCTTAAGCATCAGAAAAGCTTTTGCTGGGTGCTCCACAGCAACATATTTATCTGTACGAGTGTATATCACAAAGCCGTGTTCACGTGTTGAAGAAAGAGCTTTTCCCTGGATGTGGGAATGACTGTAAAGATATTCCAGGTTGAATGTAAAGTGTTGTTTTCTCAGTCTTCTGTGATCTGCCATCTGAATGCTCCTCTGGGCCTGCTCAGTGATGAAAAGCCTGCACTGCCTGTGAATAGAGTGTGTGATTGTGTGTGAAAATGTTCCAGGTTTTCACTGTGATTTATGTGCTATTAGGAATTGAACATGCACGCAGAGCGCTAATGCAGACAGCTAATAATTGTAAAGTATCAGAGCAGTGATTTCCATATCAATATGTCTGACCACATGGTATTTAAATCACACTGGACAACACATACACACTCAAATAGACACTCTATTTCTCATGATCATCGGATGAATGCTTCCAAGAGCACACTAATTCATCCTTACATTTACAACATAAGATTATAAATGATGGTGCACATCCAGGACTAATACCACAACTCATTATGCTTATTTAATTATACTCATGGTTAGGCTTTGGAAAATGAAACTAGTTGGTTAAGATGAGGAGAAGATAAAATATACCAAAGTTTTTGCTTGGTTCTCCAACAGACTGTTCCAATGTCATTCCACTTTGTGTTTTTAGCCCCTCTGTCACAGTTTCAGTCTGATATACTCCATAGTCTTTTGAACAGTGTCCTCAGACACAGTAACCCTGACAAGACAAGAGTTTTAAGTGTGAGTTGACAAAAATGTTAATAAGAACAACAGTTTGTGCACAAGCAGCAGTGACTTCTGTGTGGACATTTTCCTCGTCTGTCTCTGTGCTGGACTGGTGTCCTGACCAGGGTTTATCTATTAATGGAAATTTTTGTGTCTTATGTTGTCATGGCAGTGTCACTTCCAGTTTCTGTATGCAAAAAAAGCATGAGGGAACAAAAATCAGTGCAGCTAAAACAATAAGTCATCCTCAGAGGAACTGATCTGCCCACACAAACTGTGTATGACTGCTATCAGGGCATTTCTGGGAAGTGTTTTGCATTCCTGATGTAAATATGTTGATGTAGATATGTTTTATTCTATACATACATACATACATACTGGCATACATACAGGCATACATACATACATACAAACATACATACATACATACATAGAGATACACACACATGTGTGTGTGTTGCGAATCCTATCTTTACATAAGCTTGGTAAAATAAAAACAACAAACAAACCCTAGCAATGTTAAAGTAAACAAAATAACACTAAGGATGTAAACATTATTTTTCTGTTAGCAAAATCAAACAGCATGCACATACTGTAATGTAACACTGATAAAGCTGAACAACCTGCAGATCCTGACCTTTTTCTGATACATCACACACTGTTATATAGAAGCTTTCACATTATTTATTTACTCCTGCTTGCCTCCACAGCTGCTGTACGAGGAGTGGGCCAGCTACAGTGTCTTCTACAAGTACCAGCCTATTGGGCTCATCAGGTCAGTGTCTCAGCAGTGCTCCTGTCCCACCCATCAGGTGAATCATCGACACATTTGTCTGTGAGCTCAGGGCTGCTGCATTGACTGTCTTCACCAGCCTGCAGCCATGTAAGACAGATGAGGACTCTCACTGAACCAGCAGTCGTGTGTTGAGCTCTCTCTGTTCTCACAGCTTACACATAATGAGCAAGATCACAGAATATCATCAAGTTTGCCAGATTTCTGCAGGAGGCAGGTGAATCCAAAGACAGCAGGAAGAAACAAATCTGAAAGGCTGTACTTTCCACATATATATCGATGTTGCAGTTGGTTACAGATTGAACTGTAGCGCCATGTCAGGGATTATTCCTGAGGTGTGTCGAGCACAGTGGGTGGAACAGCACAGGATGTGTGGAAAATGAGCCTCTTACTGTATTTGGAAGTGTTGATGGAAAGCATGTACAAATAAAAGCACCTCCAAAGTCCTGCAGCAACTACTTCAATTACAGCTCTGATAATGATGGATTTTAAAGGTGTGGATAACATGCGTAGACCTGCGGATGCCAAAAGCGTGAATTGACCTGTAAGGTATCACAGATAATTTGACAGTCCACCTCTGCATCTCCTCCCACAGAAAGTACTTTGGGGAGAAGGTTGGACTGTATTTTGCCTGGTTAGGAGTCTACACACAGATGCTAATCCCTGCTGCCATCGTTGGAGTCATCGTGTTCCTCTATGGTTGTGCCACTGTTGATGATAACATACCGAGGTACACAGCACACACATCTTCCTTCTTACATACAGTTTGTTTTCCATTTGTTGCTAATCATTATATAAAATTATTTTCTGTCTCTTTTTACGGAAGTTGTGCTCTTTGAAGTTGCATCATGAACATCAATGTCAGTCTCCGTCACTGAGGTCCTTTTGAGAACTGCTTGTAATTCATCATGATGTCTTAGTTAAACTTCCAGCTTACCTACGTCAATCTAACAGGCAGCTGTTTTGTCTTCATTCCATTTTTTATTTTTGTAGCCTTTAAGTCCTCAGCTGGGTGCGTGCGTGCGTGCGTGCGTGCGTGTGTGCGTGCGTGTGTGTGTGTGTGTGTGTGCGTGTGTGTGTGCGTGCGTGTGTAGGGGTGACTGGCAAACATTGTAAAGTGCTTTGAGTCCCACTAAGATAGAAGAGCACTATATACACGCAGACCATGTACTGTTAACTGAACATCAATATTTCATCTGCTCACGGTCAGTGGCCCCCAGCACATTCCTCAGTGAATTCATTTATTCCAAAATATTTTCACAACTTTGTTTTGAATTCTCATTAATTACACAAATTACAATCAAAAACCATTTATTAAGTTAGTGCGGAGTGAGTCTGGAATGAGTTTTTTTCTTAACTGTGTTAGAAAATGTATTTCTTATACAAATGGAATTTCTACAAGGATCATCCCTTTTCTGTGAATCTGCATCCCCCTAGCTGTTGTTATGACTAGCTGATTTGTATCAGAAACAGGGTGAACTAATGACACATTTCTTGGTCTCAATGGCAGAAGAGCTGACATGGTAAGATGAATGTTGTGGTGTGGTAACAGGCTTGATGGTAAACACTAGGCTTAGACCGCACCCTCAAAGTGACTCCACCTATTCACATAAAAACACTCTAAAGCTTTAGGTTTATTGCGACACAAAGTCATTACAGACATTACTTGGACAGAGCATGTCACTCAGTGTTAGGCAATATGAGCATAATTCACAAAGCAATAGATATCCTGACTGTCAGAGATTTTGCCATACTAAAATGATTTATAAATGTATAATTCAGGTATTTAATTTGCTACATTAGTCAAAACCTTCCTGTTGTTTTTTCCAAAGGCAGTTCTTCAAATGATTTTCTACAAAATGTGCTATATCATGATTTATCTCAGAAGCACATTATACATAAAGTATGACAAATGATTTAATCCAAATCAGATGAACAAGTCTGCAAGTAATGTTTTTCCTGAATCTAAACTGTTGCTCTGATGTCTCTCCACCTTTTGCTGTCCTCCACCCCTCTGGATATTCCACCTTTGTTTTGTTAGTATGGAGATTTGTGATCCCAGGAACAACATCACCATGTGTCCGTTGTGCGACCGCGCCTGCAGCTACTGGAAGTTGGTGACAGCGTGTGGAACAGCCCGGGCTAGTCACCTATTCGACAACCCAGCCACTGTCTTCTTCTCCATCTTCATGGCCCTGTGGGGTAAAGACACGTTCACATCCAATCATACATAGAGCAACAAGGCAAGTAGAGCCTTACAAATACAGACTGTGCAGCCAAGCATTGCTGGAACTGTTCCACTCGATAGACAGTATCATTTAACCCATTCCATACAGCATTGCCAGAAAATATGGATGCTGCTTCAGAGGCGCACAAGAAATTTACAATACATATCCACAAGGGTTACTCCTGAATAAACATACTGCCAGCCCTCCTCTGATGTCCTGCCAAAGCATGCTGCCATCTGCTAGCAGCAGCAGGCCTTCAGACCACAGTGCTGCTATGTGTTTAGATGAAGCTGGTGTCTGACAGAGTCACAGTGTGACAGCCATCTGGATCCACCTGCTGTAGACCTGAATAGACAGAATGCCACCAAACTGTATGTACTCTTCCTTGTAAGCAAACTGCATCAGTAGCAAAATAGCAACATGTGTGTGCATGTATGCTATTGAGAAATCGTGAATACACATGCTGCAGTTTATTTTTGACTCCGTCTGCTGCCACAAATACTGATACAGATTAAAGCATTGTTGGCGTGGGATTCGTAAGTCACTAACTCAAAATCAAATACTGTCAGCCTTATGCAGCCTTATGTGTATGTCTTCTTGTAGTATAGTAAACTTAAGGATTATTGTAAACACTGCAATCCCCATAGTGATTAAAGTAGGTTTAAGCTGAAAATTAGTCACAAGTGTTATCAATCACCAACAATTTAACATCAAATAAACACGCTCTTTCTATTGGTTTAAAGTAATTTTGTTTACTTGCAGGAACCTTCTTCACAGGAGTGTAAAATGTACAAAGTGCAAAAGTGACGGTATCACAGTTACTCACAGTTAATGATTGCTCATTTTTATAAATACAATTTGTGTATTTGTGAAACGGATAACATGTGGACAAAAAAACTGACAGTATGAAATGTTCACAGCCCTTATCCTTGGTCATTCATTGATGGTGATATTATGAGCAGAGACATGTAGCTTCTGCTGTTTGAGCCTGTGTTCAGTTTGCTGTGTATGCTTGCTTATGTAGCTGTTCTCTTCATGGAGCACTGGAAGAGGCGACAGATGCGACTCAACTATATCTGGGACCTGACAGGTTTTGGAGAGGAGGAGGAGGTGAGATAACGCCACAAATAGCCTTATGTATGTACAGTACGTGTTTAAAGACACACACGTGTGATGCATGGCTGAAAACAGGAGTTTCAGGAAACATGACTATTTGGTTTCTTCCTGAAAGTTAGATGTCTGATTAGCATGTGGGAGGGGTATCAATCGTGCGTAACAAAATGTCACTTTTGTTTGACTACATTTTGAAGACACTTAATGAAAAGTCAACTCAGTCACTGTTGTACAAATAGTGTGATTCATAATGAATATCAGTGCCCTGATCATTCGTTGTGTTACCAAACAGAAAAGTTAATCATATTCTGGGACCATAATCATGTTGAGCTTAATCCATTAACTACAAATCCTTTCGACTTAACATTTTGCATCATCAACCTATTGTTCTGTTTTCATTTCAGTTTGCTGTAAAAACAGTTTGAGTCTTGACATGCTTGTTAATGTGTGCTGCTGTGGTGTAGGCAGTGTAGCTTTAATAATCACTTTAATTAATCTTTACTTCATCATGGCTGATTTGGCAATGTGGCTTTGACCACAATCAAAGCCGACATGAGGTTTTGTGGTGGATTAACTAGTAAACTGCAAGTCTCTGCAAGTTCATTTTCTACACAATTCTACAATGAATTAAAATAAATAGCTGATGGGAAAACTGGAAACGTACAGAAAATGCTGAATGTGTCATTTAAATTTATGGCCACTAAAGTTCATATAAATACTGTCAGTTAGAGGAGCTCTTTCTGGTGCCCCTGGTTCTGGAAGTAAAACTGACAGTCATTTCTGCCAATGTCAGTGTTAGGTTTTAACATGAAAGTCTTGCTTGTAATCAATACAAACATGTCTGTCTTGTGAGAGAAAATGACAAGGTACAAGCCTGCTTACATAAAAACTCATAGGTAGGCATTAACTATGGTGCAACAACCTCCAGTCTCACATGGTAAGATTTTGTTACTTCTGAACAGCAACAGCAGCCAAGGTTTATGAGTGTCGCTGTATTTTAAGATGTCAGCTATGTAAAATATCATTACATGAGCAGACTGCATTACACTGTGGATATTGTATAAAATATTAATTTGAAATGGGAAGTCATAATTAGGGGAAACTTTCAGAACCAGCAGCCAGTCCCTCCTTGTAGGTCTGCCTCTACCTCCAGAATCCCTAAATTTAGTTTCAGGCTTTGTGAACGTCACCATCAATTTGTGTAGAATAATTTTAGTAATTTCATTACCATGAACAGAATATTGACATTTTTCACTGCCTTTAACCTAAAAGCACATTCACAAAGTATTAAGGCTAACATAAAGGCACAGGTCAGGATATGAATATGAATGTAACTCCTCTGTCTCTGCTCTGTAGTGAGTCAGCACTCAGCAGAAAGGTTCCCACACAAACATCTCAGCCTCAGACATCAGTACTGGATGTTCTTTTTTTTTTTTTTTTAATCATGATGAAATGGAGCAGTGCTTTCCTTTTCATTAGAGCCTTTTTGTTTTTATTAAGAGTCTGTATTGATCTAAATGTGACATGGAAATGTTTTAGTCTCTACACACTGTTCACTCTCATCTTGTTCTTGTGTTTTCATGTGTGTGCTGTGTTTCACAGGAGGAACATAAGGTTTGGATCCAACTTGCTTTATTTCTTGCTGTTAAACTTACATTCTTTCTTTTGGACTCACTGTTTCAGATCCATTCTGCAGCTGCTGTTATCAAATACTAATCTTCTCTCCCTCAAGGTGTCTAACCATCTGCCTCAGGTCTTTTCACTTGACATCCTCCTTGTGTCTTTGCTCAGTACAATATTTAACCTGTAGCTCCTCTCTGTCTCTGTGAGGTCCATCCTCATGCTGTGGCCTCTTGTTCATGCTGCTGTTCAGCACAGTACTGTTGCTGATGTTTATGTCTGCTGATGGCAGCAGAGCTGACAGGACACATGTTGACTTGCAGACTCACATCTCCTGTGTCTTATTTTTTCCCTGACTTTGATTTTCGATGTTCCCATTTTAAACAGACAGTGGTTCCCTTCATACCCATAAGACAAACAGCACACAGAGTGAAGTAAATGTATAATGCAGATTTACAGTCAAATATAAAGTGGGATTTATAGTCATCCCCCACACTAGCTGCTTGCGTTCCTTCCTTTTCTTCCTGACACAAAGCACCAATGAGCTGCACACACTAATTAAAGACAGTTGAGCTGCATAGAGTTGACTTGATAATTACCTGTTTTAGCTCTTATTGATCGAAGTCTCCAGGTCCTTGACTAATGGCTGAGTAACAGCAGAGGCTACACAAGAAACTGCATGAACCCGCAAAAGCATGTAGCACTATGCAGTACCTATGCTACTAAAATATGAGGTCCACATTTGATCTTGTTCCAGCACAAGCTCAGCTCACATTTACCCCTGATGTGGACCACATGGACATGTGGTCCGGAAGACAATGGTATGTCAAACACATACATTTCTCCAAAACCTGCTGATATGTTTCTCCAAAGTCCAGCCTGAAACAGAACCCTCCCAAAAAACAAAGATATAGGTAGATGTTTGGAATTTTCCCTTTTTTATAAGGGTAAGTCAGTGTAATCCTTTGCATTTTAAGAACTTAAAAGCTGCACCATTCAGCATTGTTAGTAAAAAGTGAGTGTGTAATTTGAAAGGAGTTTGGGATGGAACCACAAAATGATTTAATAACTTTTCAGCTGTTTGTTCTGGCTCTACAGCTACAGATTTTCTGTTTTAGTTCAGTCTGACTGTTGTCATTGTCATTTTGCAACTAAAAAGTCAGAGAAAAAGTGGTGGACCAAATCAGAGTTCAGAGGGGAGCGAACATTAGATTTGCATTCATCAGGTGCCCAAAAACTCAACTCTAAATAATAATATTCATGCTACTGATGACCCTGTTATTGATGGCATGTAAATAGTTGTTTGCTCACAAATAGGTAGTTTGTTAGTTTGGACTAGTCTGAGTCAGAGCACAAATGGCTCAAATATCTGCCCACATAAAAACAGCTTCATTTTATACACTTCAAATCATTTTTCTGCCTGCAGCTGGCTGGAGTCTATACTGGACAAGATCTTTGTTTGCGCCGTCTAGTCAGCTTTTATCTGCTTTTGGGTCTTTTTATCTGTCTGTTTTCACTGTCTGTCTGTCTGTCTGTCTGTCTGCCTGTACATTACCGTGACACATGGACCCTCAGGCAAAAAGTGACTGTCTAACCCTCAGCTTTGTTTTCTAGTGATGCAGTTTCCTCTTCACACACAGCACCTCTTAAGTCCTGTGGGCTTTCTGCAGACTGTTATGCTGTTACTGTTACATGGGTACACATCCATTTACTTCTGGCTGCATATTCCATGGACATGTGATCGTATATTCCTCACCATGAAAGGATTATTTGACAGGAGTACTAGTCATGTGGAGATTTGTTTCTTGCATGGTTAATAGCAGATTTAGGCGTGGAGACTCAGATTTACTTTGTCTACCACATAATCAGATGGATCTGATATTTGAAATCAATTATGTCTGCTACCATCACCATCTTTTATCTTAACCTCACAAAATATCATCCAAATATCCCTTGAGCTAGATTTCCCAAGTTGGAAACTCTGGTCTTATTAATCAGGTGCATCTGTTTCTGTCTAAAAGCATAGCTGTATTTTTTTTCCAGAGCAGCCTAAATGCCTTAGTAAATGACAGTGGAGTATGACAGGTTGTTGGTTTGTTCTTTCTTCACTGTAAATGGTTTGCTGGCATTCTTCCTATTGATGCCATTCTTTGTGTTAATGCAGGCTAAACACTAAAACAATCTGCACAGGACACAGCTGTTTGGCTGTTATTTTAAAGTCATTGCAAAGGTTAAAAGGTACATGTTTCATTATAAACTGTTACTTATATTATTGTTGCGCACAATAAACTGCAGCATCACAACTCCAACTGTATACTGCACAGTTAGTTTCACTCCACTTAATCCTTTCATGGTACAATGATGCATTTCTTTCTTTTCTTGCACAGAGCACGATGCTAAAACTGAAAAATAAAGTGCTCATTTTTCAAAACTTCATGCAGGCTGTTCATTTCATCGCTGTCTTCATTCTGAAACCCCTTCAGGATCTTCCTTACTGGTTAATGTCTTGAACACTTCCTGCTTGGGGACAAATGTTTGTGTCAGAAAATGTAACAAGCAAACTGATTTCTCTTCCAGGACCACAACCGAGCAGAGTACGAGTTCCGGGTTATGCAAAAGACAATGAAACAGGAGCATTCAATCCCAAAGGTAAAACTAAAGCTGTGTTATTTTCATCTATTGAATCCATACCTGCAGTCACGTGAGAGGTCTAAAGAAGCAGTAGTATGTAGAGCCATCTTACATGACAGACTTATCATTTTATGTATTCAGTGTTTTTTTGAAAACAAGTTGTATGATGAATATTTTATTCTTTTTCGACTTTACACATACATACATACACACACACACACACACACACACACACACACACACTCATTTTCTTGTGTGTTTATACATTTCTTTTGTTGTCATCATTATCCACACTTTCGCATCACCCATCACAGGTGAACTTATTTTTACAGTCCTGTATTTTAATCAGCAATCTTTCCTTGAGTGGGGGTAGCAGTAAATGCTTTACTGAGATCATTAAGTCAATTTAAGTAACCTTTATTTGAATAACACATTTAGAACAACAGTAGTTGACCTAAAGTGCTTTCCATTAGAGATAGAAGATGAATGTTACAAAGTCACATGACTGACAGAATGTATAAGTAGATATAGTCATCTGAAGGCACTTCAAATGTTAAACCTTACAATATAAATACATGTAAGTATGTATTTGACCTTACAATACAACTGAGAGAAACCCAACGCTTCCATTTGAGCAAGCACTTGCCTCGACTGCCTTGACCTGTTGGGTGAGGGAGGGACAACATGAGCATTGACAAACAACAAGGAAACTTTACCTGTCTATAGTTGGTTTAAAATGTAGCAGCAGGACTTTTTGACTCATTAGCCAGGCATCTACTATCCTTAATATTTTGTTCCATGCAACAGTGGGGGCCATTGTAGAAGCCTCACTGGCGTCATCAGATGGGCACCTTGTTTACTCAATTTCTGTTAATTGGCCCACGACATTCCAGAGGGCTCAACAGAGAAACCTGGCCTCCCCAGTGTGCCCCCCTATGCTTTTTCACCAACTGCTAGCTGATGAGCATCTAGCAGCCCAGTTCTTACCCTTACTGTCCACCAAAGCCAGTTGCTGCTTTGCTCAGCAGCCTCTGGCTCTGATATAGGCCTTTTCCTCAGATTCTTATTCCTTTTAGAAGCCTGGTTGCTGACCTGGCCACAAAGCACCTGCAGTCGACACGCAGATGTGTTTCAGTTGTTTTAGCTTTTTGAATTCATACACTCCTCCAGGTGAATACTGCCATAGCACTGTGAGCTCTTTGATGAACAAAGCTCGTTGTGAGGCTGCCACTGGACCAGCCTGAGATCTGGTTGTAATGATCTCTCGTGGGAAGGTGAGGCTCTGGTCTAGATTGACCTTTGATTTTATAGCCTCAGGCTGTATCCAATAGGCTTGATTCCTTTGTTGCAGTTGCTCTCTTTGGTTCCTTTACTGTTGGTAAAAAAAAAAAAAAGGTGATTGGAGGTTGGAGGAGACAGAACATTGTGGACCTGGCATCAAGAGTGTCGGTCATAGTGATGTCCAGCTTTACTTTGGAAGATTTGTATTTTTCAGTATAAGGCCATGTTCCCATACAGGCCGATACTGCTAAGGTGCTGAGGTAGTCTGAGCCAGTTTCTGATGTATGCAGAGACTCTTCTCTGTCTGCATGTCATTGTTGATGACAGTCCAAAATGCAGACACCAAAGGTTCATCCTCCCGAAAGTAGGGTTTTTATCTTGTAGAAAGGCCTTAAAGGTTTTTTTCCTTATATCATTTACTTTTGTCTGGGTATGGTTTCCATGCAGAACCTCAGATCTTTGAGTTTTCCTTTGACAGATAAATAATATGTCACCTTACCATTGGTTTGTTCCATTGTTTACAAACGTTCTCCTAACTTTAGCGATGCAGTCAGCTGCAGAAGAGCTGCATCCACAAGCCACATTGTCGGACAATCTAAGTAAGCAAACATGGAAGTTGTGTAATTTACATCATGACTCATATCTTAAAAATAGAAGGTTGAAGTTTTCTTCTAAACAAAGTTTAAATTCACTGTTAGATGACTAAAAGGCCTTGTGCATATCTTTGGGGTGCAACAAACGTGTTGAGTGTATTTCCACTCCACAAGACATTTTCAGAGATTTTTATAGCATTTGGAGATCTATATTAATTTTATCCATTCCTTCTCTTTTCTGCCTTTATTGACACAATACAGTGTTTCTTTGTTAGTCTGTGCATGTGGCTTTCTATAATATGCTGAAAAGAACCAAAATCAGCAGCTGCCTGGAAGATGGGAAATTAGTCAAGAGGACGTGATGCACTTTAGAAGATGTGAAACAGGGCAGGCTGATTGTCAGAGAGTAAAAGTCAAAACTAGTTAGTTTCACACTGAACTCGCCACTTTGTTCAGTCATTCAATCTCCACTTTTTTGTGATTATGGCACTTAGTCAACTGTAGTCTAAAGAGTGTCACAGTGTCACAGTTTGTGCTCCATCTTTTGTGAATTTGTGGGAAAGAAAACCACTACAAACTCAGAGGAAATGAAGGGACTCACAAATGACAGAAGAGAAAGTATCGCTCATAAATCTATTCATTATTTTTAAAGTTATTAAATGGCTGACTCTCATTTGTTAACCGCTGCCTGTTGCAACCAATGTCAGTAGTAAATTTAACTACCAAAGGCTTTACACATTCCTTTCTCTCTTAATCTCTTCAGGCCAGTACAGGCCAGGAACCAGAGTGGTAATTTGTTTCGGCCCAAAAAATGCTCTTTCTTTAGAGGTTGTTTTTTTTTCTTCATTTGATCACTACATATGGTCATCATAACATAGCCCTTTTATCCATCACACATTAAGTTATTTTAACAGGTTGAATTGATAGGTCTATTCCAATATGATATCCTCCAACGCTCACATGTACAGACAAGCAGCAACAGCCAAGAAACAAACACTGACCATCAGTAGCTGACAGTTCTTAGGAAGCTGCAACTCTGAGTTGTGTACGATTAAAATCTAATTGTGTCTTCATTCGCACCTTGTAGAGCGAGTGCTGATGAAACACTGAAACATGTTCGTATGTCGTAGAAAGCACTGAGGGTGAAGACGTCACATTCAACATAACACGATCTCCTGACAAGGTTCCGCTTTGGCCATGGTCATGTTCTTAATCAGCCTTATGTTTTTGTCTTGTACCAAGGTCATGTCTTCCTTTTCATCAAATACACCCACACACGCAGTCGCCTGAGTGCCTGACCCAGTTCTTTACTGGGCTTGAATGTGACACAATAGCTCTAGGCGGGATTAGCTGTGCTCCACTGGAGCCACAGACTGTCTGTATGTTCATGGTGTGTGCTGTGTGCAACGGCATGACCAGAGTGTAGAGAGCTGCTGCTGACAGAAAGACATGAGACTGTGACACCTCGTTCCTAATGTGCTTCACTCTGTCTGTGTGTGTGTGTGTTTGTGTGTATGCGCTTTAGGATGAGAAGGTGAAGCTGACATGTACAGACAGAATGCCAGCGTACCTGACTACAGTGGTCATGATGTGCTTCATGGTGAGTCCCAGCAGTCTCCACACAGTTACACCACCAGCACATGTGTGGCAGTTGAACCATAGAATATTCTTACCTACTCAAATATACCTCCAGATTTGGCAACATAACACTAAGTTTAAATGCTTCTTTTTTGGTTCCTGCACTAGTAAATCTCTTGCTGATCTGTTAATGATCTTTTTTTTATTCTTTTTTTTTTGTTAGTAATCCATCTAGAAAACATTATAGCAGCGTCTTTCCTCTGGCTGGTGATCACTTTCACTGGTTAATCCCTCCACATTACCAGCAGCAGATTATATCAGCAGTGACGCTTTCTTCCAATTAACATTTGTTAATGCTTATAAAGCCTGAATGCGACTTTTGGCTGCTTTACTAGACTCTGCCAGTGTCTGCCAAAAACCAGTTATCCGAGTCAGAGCAGCGATGAGAGTGATGACTTCAGTTATCTGGCTAATTACATGACTTAATGAAACATTANAGCCTTTTTGTTTTTATTAAGAGTCTGTATTGATCTAAATGTGACATGGAAATGTTTTAGTCTCTACACACTGTTCACTCTCATCTTGTTCTTGTGTTTTCATGTGTGTGCTGTGTTTCACAGGAGGAACATAAGGTTTGGATCCAACTTGCTTTATTTCTTGCTGTTAAACTTACATTCTTTCTTTTGGACTCACTGTTTCAGATCCATTCTGCAGCTGCTGTTACCAAATACTAATCTTCTCTCCCTCAAGGTGTCTAACCATCTGCCTCAGGTCTTTTCACTTGACATCCTCCTTGTGTCTTTGCTCAGTACAATATTTAACCTGTAGCTCCTCTCTGTCTCTGTGAGGTCCATCCTCATGCTGTGGCCTCTTGTTCATGCTGCTGTTCAGCACAGTACTGTTGCGGATGTTTATGTCTGCTGATGGCAGCAGAGCTGACAGGACACATGTTGACTTGCAGACTCACATCTCCTGTGTCTTATTTTTTCCCTGACTTTGATTTTCGATGTTCCCATTTTAAACAGACACAGTGGTTCCCTTCATACACATAAGACAAACAGCACACAGAGTGAAGTAAATGTATAATGCAGATTTACAGTCAAATATAAAGTGGGATTTATAGTCATCCCCCACACTAGCTGCTTGCGTTCCTTCCTTTTCTTCCTGACACAAAGCACCAATGAGCTGCACACACTAATTAAAGACAGTTGAGCTGCATAGAGTTGACTTGATAATTACCTGTTTTAGCTCTTATTGATCGAAGTCTCCAGGTCCTTGACTAATGGCTGAGTAACAGCAGAGGCTACACAAGAAACTGCATGAACCCGCAAAAGCATGTAGCACTATGCAGTACCTATGCTACTAAAATATGAGGTCCACATTTGATCTTGTTCCAGCACAAGCTCAGCTCACATTTACCCCTGATGTGGACCACATGGACATGTGGTCCGGAAGACAATGGTATGTCAAACACATACATTTCTCCAAAACCTGCTGATATGTTTCTCCAAAGTCCAGCCTGAAACAGAACCCTCCCAAAAAACAAAGATATAGGTAGATGTTTGGAATTTTCCCTTTTTTATAAGGGTAAGTCAGTGTAATCCTTTGCATTTTAAGAACTTAAAAGCTGCACCATTCAGCATTGTTAGTAAAAAGTGAGTGTGTAATTTGAAAGGAGTTTGGGATGGAACCACAAAATGATTTAATAACTTTTCAGCTGTTTGTTCTGGCTCTACAGCTACAGATTTTCTGTTTTAGTTCAGTCTGACTGTTGTCATTGTCATTTTGCAACTAAAAAGACAGAGAAAAAGTGGTGGACCAAATCAGAGTTCAGAGGGGAGCGAACATTAGATTTGCATTCATCAGGTGCCCAAAAACTCAACTCTAAATAATAATATTCATGCTACTGATGACCCTGTTATTGATGGCATGTAAATAGTTGTTTGCTCACAAATAGGTAGTTTGTTAGTTTGGACTAGTCTGAGTCAGAGCACAAATGGCTCAAATATCTGCCCACATAAAAACAGCTTCATTTTATACACTTCAAATCATTTTTCTGCCTGCAGCTGGCTGGAGTCTATACTGGACAAGATCTTTGTTTGCGCCGTCTAGTCAGCTTTTATCTGCTTTTGGGTCTTTTTATCTGTCTGTTTTCACTGTCTGTCTGTCTGTCTGTCTGTCTGCCTGTACATTACCGTGACACATGGACCCTCAGGCAAAAAGTGACTGTCTAACCCTCAGCTTTGTTTTCTAGTGATGCAGTTTCCTCTTCACACACAGCACCTCTTAAGTCCTGTGGGCTTTCTGCAGACTGTTATGCTGTTACTGTTACATGGGTACACATCCATTTACTTCTGGCTGCATATTCCATGGACATGTGATCGTATATTCCTCACCATGAAAGGATTATTTGACAGGAGTACTAGTCATGTGGAGATTTGTTTCTTGCATGGTTAATAGCAGATTTAGGCGTGGAGACTCAGATTTACTTTGTCTACCACATAATCAGATGGATCTGATATTTGAAATCAATTATGTCTGCTACCATCACCATCTTTTATCTTAACCTCACAAAATATCATCCAAATATCCCTTGAGCTAGATTTCCCAAGTTGGAAACTCTGGTCTTATTAATCAGGTGCATCTGTTTCTGTCTAAAAGCATAGCTGTATTTTTTTTCCAGAGCAGCCTAAATGCCTTAGTAAATGACAGTGGAGTATGACAGGTTGTTGGTTTGTTCTTTCTTCACTGTAAATGGTTTGCTGGCATTCTTCCTATTGATGCCATTCTTTGTGTTAATGCAGGCTAAACACTAAAACAATCTGCACAGGACACAGCTGTTTGGCTGTTATTTTAAAGTCATTGCAAAGGTTAAAAGGTACATGTTTCATTATAAACTGTTACTTATATTATTGTTGCGCACAATAAACTGCAGCATCACAACTCCAACTGTATACTGCACAGTTAGTTTCACTCCACTTAATCCTTTCATGGTACAATGATGCATTTCTTTCTTTTCTTGCACAGAGCACGATGCTAAAACTGAAAAATAAAGTGCTCATTTTTCAAAACTTCATGCAGGCTGTTCATTTCATCGCTGTCTTCATTCTGAAACCCCTTCAGGATCTTCCTTACTGGTTAATGTCTTGAACACTTCCTGCTTGGGGACAAATGTTTGTGTCAGAAAATGTAACAAGCAAACTGATTTCTCTTCCAGGACCACAACCGAGCAGAGTACGAGTTCCGGGTTATGCAAAAGACAATGAAACAGGAGCATTCAATCCCAAAGGTAAAACTAAAGCTGTGTTATTTTCATCTATTGAATCCATACCTGCAGTCACGTGAGAGGTCTAAAGAAGCAGTAGTATGTAGAGCCATCTTACATGACAGACTTATCATTTTATGTATTCAGTGTTTTTTTGAAAACAAGTTGTATGATGAATATTTTATTCTTTTTCGACTTTACACATACATACATACACACACACACACACACACACACACACACACACACTCATTTTCTTGTGTGTTTATACATTTCTTTTGTTGTCATCATTATCCACACTTTCGCATCACCCATCACAGGTGAACTTATTTTTACAGTCCTGTATTTTAATCAGCAATCTTTCCTTGAGTGGGGGTAGCAGTAAATGCTTTACTGAGATCATTAAGTCAATTTAAGTAACCTTTATTTGAATAACACATTTAGAACAACAGTAGTTGACCTAAAGTGCTTTCCATTAGAGATAGAAGATGAATGTTACAAAGTCACATGACTGACAGAATGTATAAGTAGATATAGTCATCTGAAGGCACTTCAAATGTTAAACCTTACAATATAAATACATGTAAGTATGTATTTGACCTTACAATACAACTGAGAGAAACCCAACGCTTCCATTTGAGCAAGCACTTGCCTCGACTGCCTTGACCTGTTGGGTGAGGGAGGGACAACATGAGCATTGACAAACAACAAGGAAACTTTACCTGTCTATAGTTGGTTTAAAATGTAGCAGCAGGACTTTTTGACTCATTAGCCAGGCATCTACTATCCTTAATATTTTGTTCCATGCAACAGTGGGGGCCATTGTAGAAGCCTCACTGGCGTCATCAGATGGGCACCTTGTTTACTCAATTTCTGTTAATTGGCCCACGACATTCCAGAGGGCTCAACAGAGAAACCTGGCCTCCCCAGTGTGCCCCCCTATGCTTTTTCACCAACTGCTAGCTGATGAGCATCTAGCAGCCCAGTTCTTACCCTTACTGTCCACCAAAGCCAGTTGCTGCTTTGCTCAGCAGCCTCTGGCTCTGATATAGGCCTTTTCCTCAGATTCTTATTCCTTTTAGAAGCCTGGTTGCTGACCTGGCCACAAAGCACCTGCAGTCGACACGCAGATGTGTTTCAGTTGTTTTAGCTTTTTGAATTCATACACTCCTCCAGGTGAATACTGCCATAGCACTGTGAGCTCTTTGATGAACAAAGCTCGTTGTGAGGCTGCCACTGGACCAGCCTGAGATCTGGTTGTAATGATCTCTCGTGGGAAGGTGAGGCTCTGGTCTAGATTGACCTTTGATTTTATAGCCTCAGGCTGTATCCAATAGGCTTGATTCCTTTGTTGCAGTTGCTCTCTTTGGTTCCTTTACTGTTGGTAAAAAAAAAAAAAAGGTGATTGGAGGTTGGAGGAGACAGAACATTGTGGACCTGGCATCAAGAGTGTCGGTCATAGTGATGTCCAGCTTTACTTTGGAAGATTTGTATTTTTCAGTATAAGGCCATGTTCCCATACAGGCCGATACTGCTAAGGTGCTGAGGTAGTCTGAGCCAGTTTCTGATGTATGCAGAGACTCTTCTCTGTCTGCATGTCATTGTTGATGACAGTCCAAAATGCAGACACCAAAGGTTCATCCTCCCGAAAGTAGGGTTTTTATCTTGTAGAAAGGCCTTAAAGGTTTTTTTCCTTATATCATTTACTTTTGTCTGGGTATGGTTTCCATGCAGAACCTCAGATCTTTGAGTTTTCCTTTGACAGATAAATAATATGTCACCTTACCATTGGTTTGTTCCATTGTTTACAAACGTTCTCCTAACTTTAGCGATGCAGTCAGCTGCAGAAGAGCTGCATCCACAAGCCACATTGTCGGACAATCTAAGTAAGCAAACATGGAAGTTGTGTAATTTACATCATGACTCATATCTTAAAAATAGAAGGTTGAAGTTTTCTTCTAAACAAAGTTTAAATTCACTGTTAGATGACTAAAAGGCCTTGTGCATATCTTTGGGGTGCAACAAACGTGTTGAGTGTATTTCCACTCCACAAGACATTTTCAGAGATTTTTATAGCATTTGGAGATCTATATTAATTTTATCCATTCCTTCTCTTTTCTGCCTTTATTGACACAATACAGTGTTTCTTTGTTAGTCTGTGCATGTGGCTTTCTATAATATGCTGAAAAGAACCAAAATCAGCAGCTGCCTGGAAGATGGGAAATTAGTCAAGAGGACGTGATGCACTTTAGAAGATGTGAAACAGGGCAGGCTGATTGTCAGAGAGTAAAAGTCAAAACTAGTTAGTTTCACACTGAACTCGCCACTTTGTTCAGTCATTCCATCTCCACTTTTTTGTGATTATGGCACTTAGTCAACTGTAGTCTAAAGAGTGTCACAGTTTGTGCTCCATCTTTTGTGAATTTGTGGGAAAGAAAACCACTACAAACTCAGAGGAAATGAAGGGACTCACAAATGACAGAAGAGAAAGTATCGCTCATAAATCTATTCATTATTTTTAAAGTTATTAAATGGCTGACTCTCATTTGTTAACCGCTGCCTGTTGCAACCAATGTCAGTAGTAAATTTAACTACCAAAGGCTTTACACATTCCTTTCTCTCTTAATCTCTTCAGGCCAGTACAGGCCAGGAACCAGAGTGGTAATTTGTTTAGGCCCAAAAAATGCTCTTTCTTTAGAGGTTGTTTTTTTTTCTTCATTTGATCACTACATATGGTCATCATAACATAGCCCTTTTATCCATCACACATTAAGTTATTTTAACAGGTTGAATTGATAGGTCTATTCCAATATGATATCCTCCAACGCTCACATGTACAGACAAGCAGCAACAGCCAAGAAACAAACACTGACCATCAGTAGCTGACAGTTCTTAGGAAGCTGCAACTCTGAGTTGTGTACGATTAAAATCTAATTGTGTCTTCATTAGCACCTTGTAGAGCGAGTGCTGATGAAACACTGAAACATGTTCGTATGTCGTAGAAAGCACTGAGGGTGAAGACGTCACATTCAACATAACACGATCTCCTGACAAGGTTCCGCTTTGGCCATGGTCATGTTCTTAATCAGCCTTATGTTTTTGTCTTGTACCAAGGTCATGTCTTCCTTTTCATCAAATACACCCACACACGCAGTCGCCTGAGTGCCTGACCCAGTTCTTTACTGGGCTTGAATGTGACACAATAGCTCTAGGCGGGATTAGCTGTGCTCCACTGGAGCCACAGACTGTCTGTATGTTCATGGTGTGTGCTGTGTGCAACGGCATGACCAGAGTGTAGAGAGCTGCTGCTGACAGAAAGACATGAGACTGTGACACCTCGTTCCTAATGTGCTTCACTCTGTCTGTGTGTGTGTGTGTTTGTGTGTATGCGCTTTAGGATGAGAAGGTGAAGCTGACATGTACAGACAGAATGCCAGCGTACCTGACTACAGTGGTCATGATGTGCTTCATGGTGAGTCCCAGCAGTCTCCACACAGTTACACCACCAGCACATGTGTGGCAGTTGAACCATAGAATATTCTTACCTACTCAAATGTACCTCCAGATTTGGCAACATAACACTAAGTTTAAATGCTTCTTTTTTGGTTCCTGCACTAGTAAATCTCTTGCTGATCTGTTAATGATCTTTTTTTTATTCTTTTTTTTTTGTTAGTAATCCATCTAGAAAACATTATAGCAGCGTCTTTCCTCTGGCTGGTGATCACTTTCACTGGTTAATCCCTCCACATTACCAGCAGCAGATTATATCAGCAGTGACGCTTTCTTCCAATTAACATTTGTTAATGCTTATAAAGCCTGAATGCGACTTTTGGCTGCTTTACTAGACTCTGCCAGTGTCTGCCAAAAACCAGTTATCCGAGTCAGAGCAGCGATGAGAGTGATGACTTCAGTTATCTGGCTAATTACATGACTTAATGAAACATTAATCTTTTTTTTTTTACAGCAGGCATCTAATGTTGGCTACCTTTCATTTAGGGGAGGTCCTGTTTTGTGGATACTGGCTCCCTGTCAAGGCTCACACTACAATAAAAATACACTGTTGCACATGAAGTTGGAATAAAATATTTTTTTTTCCTTTTCTCATGAAATGATTGTGACAATGTGACTTGTTTTTGACAGTAAAATTACCACAATTAACTTTTGCAAACTGTGTTTTCAGGCTTAAACAGAATTAGTGGTTTGGAACAATAGGATTCAGGGTTTTGTTTCAGTTCTTCAACCTTGGTCAATTTAACAGGAGACACAGATTTGAGGGGCTTTCATGCATAAGAATGCCCAATATTACTCTTTTTTAAATGTCACTAGTCACTGATATTGAGTACGGCCACCCCTGACACGGATCAGTGCATTAAGACATGGTGGCATACTGTCTACAAGCTTGTTGATGGTGTCAGTGGGCAGGAAGTCCCACTCTTCAGTCAGATCCTGAAGTCAGAATTGGTTTCACCTGGTAACTGGGACTCAGTATGTCATCACTGAACCTGGTCAGAAGTGATTATTGATGTGTATAAAAAGAAATAAAAAGAGGAATGTGTCTGAAAACAAAAATTATTCCAACTTTATGGGCAACGGTGTACTAACAGATTTTTAAAAAGGGTTGTATCAAGCACATAAGGAGAAACTTCACAGATACATTTCCTTCTCAATTTAATTTCTTAGTTTAACTTTAGTGCATATCATATGGAAATTGTAGGTCCACCAGCCGTAACCGTTCTGTACTTCCGGTATTCGCTTGCTTCGTAAAAACTGACATATATAAGTCAGAAGTCTGTCAGTCTGGCAAATACATCCAAACATGTTATAGTTTGTGCCATCCACCGGACATTGTAGGCTCATGCTGATGATTGATGAGTTCATTTTTTTTTTGGCAAATTAATTTACTTGCATGTGTCAACAGGGACACATTTTTTAGGAGTTCAAAATTATTCAAATCTGATACTTGAGGGTGGTTTCAGGTTAGTTTAAGCTTTTGAGCTCCATGCCTTATTTCGAATATGTCGATAATGTGCAGTGATATGGAAAGAGAAAACAGCCAGCGTTGCTTGCTGTTTCAAAAATACCGAGATAAAAGCTTTTGTTATGCAGATTCAACACGTCTGCTACACAGTGAAGGCTACTGGAAAATCTGTGTGGGCATGATTCTGCTGACTTGTATCCATCTTTGGAACCTGGAACCTGATCCACCTGAGTACAACCAACAGATCTGAAAAAACATACTGAGCTGAACCCGTGTTGTATTTTAGTCATTCTTTTTTCATTGTAAAAGGCTTTCTCAGGAAGAGAAAATAAAACACCTGGCAACTGCCATGATATGTGAGACCTACAGACCTACAGTCCGTGTTTGGCAGCAGTACATATAGAAGCCAGCTAAACAATACAAATGCAGTATTATGCTAATGTAACAAATGTACTAGCTGACATCATAATAATCATACTAATCTTCCTACATTGAAGAAGGCATCAATAAATCTTGGAGATTTTTAGGTGTTTTACGACACGTAGGTTAAGTGCTTTTCTTTCCAGCAACACTCAACTTGGGATACGACACACACAGCACAGCCAAAGAGACGCAGACACAGAGAGCCAGAAAGAGCTTTTTTTTTTTAAAAAAATGCTTTTGAAAGTAGCCAAAATGGAATCTGATTCCAGCCAATATTTTACACTGTAAAATGGTTCTGAACTGAACTGTTGAGAGCTGTCGGACTGAATAAGAGAAAATTGCAGTGTAGCAGCACACAAAGGCATGAATGTAGTAAAACACAGGCTCAAATGATGCATGTCAGAAGAGCAGTTCTTCTTGTTTTCATTGCACACCTGCAAATATATGAGGCTTCTTTGGCATCCTGGAGTGTGGCTTTGTTATGATAACTGCTGTACAATTCTTGCCAATATCAACAAAGGGAGTTTATCAGAAGGCTTTTGCATGTCAACACCTGTAATCACTCTTTCTCACCTTGACTGACTGTTGTGCCACACTAGAGTTTTCCTCTGTCTCCTGACTTTTAGATTACTGTGACGTTCGCCATAGTGTTTGGGGTCATCCTGTACCGGATTAGCATCAAGGCAGCTCTGCACATGAGCACCTACCCTGCAGCACGGTCCAACATCCGAGCCACTGTCAAAACCACAGCAGCCATCATCAACCTCATCGTCATCATCATCTTAGATGAAATTTACGCCGCCATCGCCCGTTGGCTCACCACACTAGGTGAGGCACATTTCACTGTTAAGCTCTTAAAGACAAAATTTTACTGGGGACTCTCTACTTGCTCACTCATTCTTGCAACTTTGAACTTTTTATTGATGAAATCTCATGCAACTGGTAAACTTTAGACATTAAATATCTTTAATTTTCTTCTGAGGCAGAGAGATGTTGCCATGTTAAGGATGTCTTACAAATGAAATGAAAAACGATGTATTAGACAAAGTCTTTTTTTTTAATCTGTTTTTAAAATATGTCTGGAAGGCACCTTACAGTAAAGAATATGCTTTATTTAGTTTGCACATGAAATATATAACATGGGGTAAGCAACACTTTATGATTAAAAATGTACATTCATTTAAAATCAGGGGCTCCACTCAGATCTTTTAAATCAGGTCATCTGAGAGACCTTCATCATGAATATTTCAGATTGAATATTCATAAATGTATCAAGTCTACTAGTATTGATAAATCTTATAATCAGAAGTTGTGAACTCTGATTTCATTTGCCTCTAGTTCCCAAACAAAGAAATACACGGTAGAACTGATAATAATTATTCACTGAACATTTATGAACTACTGCTACAAACAAACGATAAGACAATAATGACGTAACAAACGGCAGACAGTGAATGAATGAATGCAGGTAAACTAAATATTAACAGTGATTGTCACTGGAAGCAGCTGGTAGAGCGGTGATCAATTTAAATTCACTTTGGAATTGATAAGCCAATTGTAGTTGCTAAATTCACCTGTTTAGCAGAAAAAAGTGATAGTTGCATATTGAAGCTGTGGGATCAGTGTGTGACGTCAGGAGGAGATATGGAGATGTGAAGATCTGCAAGAGAAGTTGGTTCTGGAACACAGAGACAACACGGCACCTTTGCATAGTTGCAATAAAAAGTGCCGCAGTTAAATACTAGGAGGCAAAGCTCATAGTTAAATAGAAGATGTTTGCACTGTTGTATTATAAAAGTTAACACAAGAACCCTGATACTTAACATAAAACAACCCAATTAAAGTAGAAAGAGAAGAACTAAAAACCTATCATAAAAGAACAAAGAGGCCAATAAAATAGTGGAAAGCACCGGGTTGCATTCCAGTGACTTTCTTTTATACAAAGAGGTTTGGAGTCAAATTAAAATCAGCATCTAACCAATCACGGATGTGTTTGTCTCAAGGGGTGGTTTTGAGCTTTACCGTCCATGAGAAGTCAGAGACCAAATATCTTTAGAATTTAATTTGAGTTCATTTCTTCAACATATCGATCCTATTGTTAAATATCAAATATGATTACAAATATAAAATTACTCTAAACAACCACACAGCTTTCAGGATAAAGAATAAGCAATGATCATTTGATCATTTATAGCATGGCCAAGAAACTCAACAAGGGAAAAAAGGATGCTTTGTTCCAACTGAAAAGTTTAATTAATGCACAATTAAATACTTTCACTCAAGCCAGTACACTCAAAGCTTTTGTCTGTCATTGTTCCAGATTGACTGGTAGCTTACTGTGGCTGATGTTAAGTAAGCCGTTGATTGAAAATGCAGTTAGATCCAGACATGGCAGACAATCAGTGTCATTTTTCAATTGGATCTCTGACAGTCTTTAAAAACAGTAAAGCTCCTGAGTGAGTTGTGTATGTGAAATAACAAAGTCTCGTGTCGTCTTTTTTTCAGAGGTGCCAAAAACAGACAAGAGCTTCGAGGAGCGCCTCATCTTCAAAACTTTCATCCTGAAGTTTGTCAATGCCTTCACACCCATTGTTTATTTGGCCTTTTTCAGGGGCAGGTAAAACAACCCCCTCTCACTGCTCGCTTTTCAAGTTTAATCATTTTTATCAAACGTATATGACTCAATAGTAAATCAAATACTCTCAGCACTGCTGCCAACTGCTGGTAGCCATTGGTACACAGGGGACATGACCATAATGCGTACTTCCTGCTTTCCTCATGTGATGGTTGTGTTTGTTTACAGGCTTGTTGGGAGACCTGGAAACTACTTATATGTTGTTGGATCATACAGAATGGAGGAGGTAACTGCACTAAACACAGTCTGACTTAAAGGCTAAGGTTGCTGTTATTCCAACTATCCCATCAAGCAACTAAAACTATATACAGTCATGACTTGACATTCCAATCCTTAACAATCCAAAAACCTTGCTATCCAACAGGTTTTTAGGAGAAACGAACAGAACATATAAAAAATAGCCTTAACATACCGTTAGCCTTGGATTCCGACTCCAACATAACATTTTATGTCACAAAAAAGGATAACGGCGTTTTATCTGACATAACAACTGTGACTGTTCTGTTCCTATTGTTTGAACTGATTTTAACATCACTTTCCCATCCCTGTTGTCAACTCTTTAAACACCCCTTTACTTCATGCTCTTGTGCCTCACTTTCACACTTTCTGACATTTGTTCGCTGTCTCTCCTCCAGTGTGCCCATGCAGGCTGTCTTATGGAGCTGTGCATCCAGTTGTGCATCACCATGTTAGGCAAGCAGCTCATCCAGAACAACCTGTTTGAGATTGGCATACCGTAAGTGCAGAGCAGAGACTGTGTGACATGTTCAAACACACATTCAACAGAGAAACACAGAACACAAGCTAAACAACAGATCAGCATAGATCACAACATATGGGTTCAGCGAGTCACAGAACACATTATGCACACCCACTCAGTTGTACTTGCATCTGAGAGGAATCATTTAAACGCCTGCTTGGTTTTCAGACGCATTTACCTGGGAACCAGACAACACTTTGCTGAACTCTGTCAGGATGCAATTTTCTCTGTCTAGTTTCCTCGTTACAGTACAATGTATCAGCTGGCCACATATAATCCAGATGGTAGAAAGGATTCAAGTATTTAAACAGAATCAAAAAACTGTTCC